AAAGGCATCCCGACTGTCAGCTCCCTTGAACACAATGTATTTAATAAAAAGCATTAAGCCTGTAAAGCTGTCAGAAATCTAAATGACACTTGTAATAAAATCTTGTCGGTGACCTGTTCCGGTTAATCAGGCCCAGTGACATCATCACGCACGGATCCGTCTGATACCCGGGGTGCGAGGTATATTTAGACAGCTTTATGATCCACGCGGATTTGAGTTATTAAAATTGTACAGTTTTGCAAGGAATTGGGGATTTAATAAAGCAGCGGAGAAACTACAAAAGGAGCAATAACCCTCCACAAAGCCGATCCCCTTGCAGGCGAGGGGCGTGTGCTCGGGCGAGTCCCGGGGCAACTCCGATGCCAGGCGCTCGCGCGGCCGATTTTATGTCTCTGTAATGTGTATGTCTGGCATCTGCAGAGCTAGCAAATATATTGCATCGTGCCCAATGACTTCAAGGTGGTGAATTACGCCTGCATGTAAAGATTTACGGGTTTATTCAGATTACTACGAGAAGATATTACCACCAATTGCTCATTGGCTCTAACGAGCCTCTTTGGAGCAAATATAACCACTAGATTGTAAATATCCTTGGCCCTGCTCACCACCTGGGTAGTTTCCGGGGCTCCAGTCTTTTTAAGGCATAACGTTACTTAATCTTGAACTACAAAAGCCAGGCCTCATGTAACAATCAGGATGAGACAGACGGACAGACACGGACAAGGGATATCCATTTGCTCAATAATCTATAAATTTAGACTAATGGGGCAGATATCAAAAAAATGTGGTGGGCGCAGGTAAATCAATCACACCTGGCCTCCTGGCATAAGCTGGCACAGCGTTCCCGAGATTTCAGTCAAATTATTCCATTTGTTTCTGAAGATATTTTAATCCCACATGACCTCAAACTTCCCGTGAACCAGGGCCTGGGCCCAAGGCCGCCCACGGCCTTTGCAATAAATCCGTTGTCTCCCTTCTCGGCCCTCAACCCAGGCCCATAGATCACCTCTCCCTGCATCTTGCTTCAATTACTCAATTAACTGCAGTAAAGTTCTTGTAGGTTTTGCAGATGTTGCTTTATTATCAAGGCCTCAGTCGAACAGGAGAGTTCAGGAGCCGAGGTTATAGGAAGGTTGATGGGGGAAGGGCCGGGATGGGGCACAGAGGATATTCCCAGCAACCTTTAGGGTTGAAGCCCCCGAGAGGGGCACGGCTCCCCCCATGCCGCTCCCCGGTGCTGTTCAATGCCCTTCGCCTCTCGGGGAATTTGTGATGTTATCTCACTGAGAAACTGCTTGAGAGAAGTAGGTATTCCACCTTCCGATGAGATAATGCTGTGATTAACAGATGCTTAATTGGGCCATTTATCACCAACAGGACCTGCCTCCAAGTCAGTGGGCCAAGTAAATTATTGCCCACCCTGCAGGTGTTGGACTGGCAGATCTATTACTCTTCACGGAATGGTCTTCAGAAGATTTTATATGAAAAGATGATTTATTTCCCAAAGGAATTCAATTGTGCTCTTATTTATCCAGAATGTAGCAGGGGTCCGCCTGGCCCCTCTTCTCCGTGCACAAAGGGGAATTGTTGAAAGCCAGAACCGCAGAGAGGGTCAGAGCCAGAAGGACACAGAAACCAGCGAGCGGATGCGGCCACTTTACAGATGGCAGCGCCGAGGCTGGAGCACACCGTGCCAAATCATGCAGACACTATCCCAATCGGCAAAGGTATTTCCCTCCTTTTTTTAAAAAAAAGATTGTGGTTTGTCCAGACCAGTGATGGCGAACCTATGACACGCGTGTCAGAGGTGACACGCGAACTCATTTTTTTGGTTGATTTTTCTTTGTTAGGTGGCATTTAAATATATAAAATAAATATCAAAAATATAAACCTTTGTTTTACCATGGTTGCAAATATCAAAACATTTCTATATGTGACACGGCACCAGAGTTAAGTTAGGGTTTTTCAAAATGCTGACACGCCGAGCTCAAAAGGTTCGCCATCACTGGTCCAGAGGATGTAATAGGATGCGTAAAAATTCGGAACAAGGCATTGTTGTGCTTTAAAGTAGGGTTTCTCACCCTTTGCCATTGTTGACGTGTTGGGCTGGATCATTTTGCTCTGGGGCCTGCCCTGTGCATTGTGGGAAGGTTAGCAGCATCCGGGCCTCCACCCACTCGGTGCCAGTGGCACCCCGGCTCGCCCCCAGCCCCCGAGTTCAGGCAACCCAAACTGTCTCCAGACACTGCACATGTCCCCTGGGAGGCAAAATTGTCCCCGGTTGGGAACCACTGCTTGAAAGTATTGTCATCATCGTCCTGAGATTAATAATATAAATTACAGCAGCTGACTTTTATTGAGTGCAAGAAATGGCTAGATACTTTATATACATTCTCTCATTTAATCCTCACAATAACTCGATTATGTGGATATTTGTTATTACTTCGTTTTATAGGCGAGAAAGTCTAGGCTGAGGGAGGTTAGGGTTTGCCCAAGTTCACGAAGCTAGTGAGTGCCAGGGGTGGGCTGCAAACCCGGGGCTGCTACCCATACCACCAGAGGAAGGGGGAGACGGGTGGATCTGGATCTGTTATGAGGTGTCAGAACTGTACAACGGCGTTCCCGTTGTCCCTGGTAATGAACTTGCGTTAAGAGTCTGTAGGGATAAAAGGGAAAACACAAGCTCCGTGTGGCTGGTCCATGGGATGTACTGGTTTCTCTGCAGATCATGGAGTCGCGTCTGCCTGGCGTCCAGCGGAAGCACGGGGCAGGTCCCCGTTGTGGATGAAAGCACTCAGGATGGTGAGTACACAACAGAATTAGGGACAACTTAACATTTCACTGAGCAAATACCTCTTCCAAAGATGCTTAGCCCAGCCTTCTTCACGGGCCGATTGCTACCCCAGACCTGGGAGCTGTCGGATACCTGGGCTCGGAGAATCCCAGGTGAGAAATGACAGAGGCCATGGCTCTAAAGGTAGAGTAATTTCGTGCCAGGAAATAAATTCACTGTAAACAGTGACTCGAGGCAAGACGCCGCCATGTGGTCACAAGTGCCTCCTGGAAGCTCTGGGCAAGGGGCTTGGGGGCGAATAAAAGAACGTCTTTACATGAGTGAATAAAGCCCACCTCTCCATCCCTGGGTATTTTAATATCAGAATCGCCCCACTGTAGCAACTGCTCCAAATTTTATGGCCGAATTTTTGGATTAATTTCATTTTAGCACGTCTATTCCCCCTTCATCGTGGTTTCTTCATCTATTCATTTTATTCTATTGTGAACAGTATATATATATGTAAATACTCTATATGTAAGAGTAACTCATGCCAAATCCTCCTTAAAGAGGCAGGTATAAATAAGAAACCTGTGGCAATATAACAGCTTGAATGGCCAGGTTTCTCTATGGAGTATAGAGGATTGGTAATCACTATGGAATTTCCTCTTTTTTTGAAAAAGAAAAACCACTTTACCGACCTTCACACCAGCATCTCCAAAGGCCGCGGGCGCTGTTTGCGTGCTGCTGTCAGAGCGAGCAGAAGCCACGCGGAGACACCCCGGGCCAGATGCTCACCCCTGGGCAGGCGGGCTGCGAGGCCATTGACTTACTTACGTCCACCTGTTTTGTGTTTTTCATTCCAACAAGACTCCCTGTCTGTCAGGCGAGGCTGTGCGGAAAAATGCGGCCAAGTCTGAAGCACGTTTCCAAACTCAGGCTCTGTCTTCTGTTCTCATTTAATCATTGACTGTAATTTTCTATCCAAGAAATAAGCGAAGAAGATGTGCAGGGAAAGTGGGTTCTGGACTGAAGGGAGGCCGTGCGCAACAGTGAGTACAAATGAGAGAGAGAGAGAGAGAGAGAGAGAGAGAGAGAGAGAGAGAGAGAATGAATCTTATTTAAGACCATGGTTTCTGCCCGGGGGAACATATTCCTCATCCCACGGAGAAGGGTGCTGGCGTGGGTGCCATGGTAACACGTGGAGAGCGTCCCTACCTTACCCATGACTATCCTGAGAACCTCATAAGGTATTCAGCCCCCAAGGAAGCCCAAGATAGTTCAAGCTAAGTCACAGCGGTTCTCAACCTGTGGGTCGCGACCCCTTTGGCGGTTGAACGACCCTTTCACAGGGGTCGCCTAAGACCATCCTGCATATCAGATATTTACATTACGATTCATAATAGTAGCAACATTTATGAAGTAGCAACGAAAATAAATTTATGGTTGGGTCACAACATGAGGAACTGTATTTAAAGGGCCAGAAGGTTGAGAACCACTGAGCTAAGAGATATTAAAGACTTGTTCAAGGTCATTTGGTCAGCAAGTGACCAAGTTTGGATTTGAGCCTTAACCTGTCTGACCCCAAACGCAGCCTTTCTCCATGTTTTACCACTAGATGAAGCAATCCCGAACCTTCTGGGGGCCAGGCCCTGTCCCTGGTACCGTGGATGTGGAGGAAAGGCATTCCCATGGGGTTGTATGGGAGGCCCGTGGCCCTTTCCCCGGCATCTGGGGACGTGGGTGGGGATCCTCCTGGACAGCCCTTCCTTGTAGCTGCCCCGAGGCGGGCAGGGTTTTCTCCGCCCTTTTCTTTCTTTCAATGTATTTTTATTGATATCAGAGAGGAAGGAAGAGGGAGAGAGAGATAGAAACATCGATGAGAGAGAATTATTGATTGGCTATCTTTTGGGGATTGAGCCCACAACCCGGGCATGTGCCCTTGAGTGGAATCAAACCTGGGACCCTTGAGCCCACAGGTTTGAATTATTAATTTATAAAATCTCATAAATTTATATTATTAATCTCACTGACGCTCTACCCACTGAGCCAAATCAGCTAGGGTTGCCCTTTTTTTTCATCGGTGCTATTACCCTCATTTGTCTCTGCAACATGGGGTCTGGCCCTGGTCTCTGGCCTGGCAGCGGCTCGCGGCCCCTCGCAGCACCTCACTGCCCCACTCCAGGCCGCCTTCGCCCGTGTAAATGCCGCTGACGGGCTGTGGATTGCTCCAGGCCTCAGTTGTGATGGGTGTGGAGGGACCTGCTAAGTTGCTCCCGACAACTGTGTGACTTGTTCCATCTCCGGGCCCAGCCTGAAGCCACCGGCTCATAACACACCTTCCCACCCACAGGGCGAGGAGAGAAAGGCAATCATGTCAGATCCTGAGAGGTGAAAACTGCCTGCTTGCTCCCCCTCCTCACTGCCCCCCCCCCGGCCTTTTCTGGCCTCCCCTGAGGTGACCATGGTTTCAGGTTTGGGAGGGCCACTCTGGGGCTCAGCTACCTGGGGATGGGGGGAGAGGGGAGGAGGGGAGTGTGTAGGTGATGGTGTCTCTTCCCAAAGAAGGCGAGTGTCTAAAACTGCCCCCTTGGGGAGAGGGCGGGTGTTTTATTTTAAGGGAATTTTGTGGGCTTGGGCTGTGGTTAAAATCCCGCTGGAACACAACCTGAGTTTATTGGGAGAAAAGCTGTAATGGGGGCTGAGGCTCACGTGGTTTGGGGGGTCTCCTCTGAGCAGACAGCAAGCAGACCCACTCCCTCCTTGCACATCCTGGGCTTCAGGGTAGACTTGATACCTGGGCCCCAGCAACGGTGGTGGTCACACTCATTCATTCATTCATTCACTCATTCATCACCAAATCCTTCCCCTGCGCCTGCTGTCCGAGCCCCGGGCTCTGGGCTGGGCCAAGGCAGGCGCTGCCCCCATGAGGTGTCTGACTGTGGCTGCTGACATGAGCGTGAATCAGATATTCCCACAGATCTGTGTCTGCGGGGGAACTGGGACGAGGCCATGAAGGACGAGGAAAGGTGCAGTGGGATGAGGCGGGACCCCGTTTGGGTTGGGCAGCAAGGTGCTGGCCTCTCTGAGGAAGGGAGCCGAGTTCCCCGGGACTCGAGTGGGGGTACGCGGTTAGGAGGAAGGAAGAACAGTGAGTGAGAAGGAGCAGGAACGGGACAGAATCTGCTTCATTTGAGGGTCGGGAGGGAGGCCCGAGTGAAGGCCAGGCTGGCTCCCCAAGGCAAAGCACATGGAACATTCTGGAACTTGAAGATGGCCAAGACCAGCGGGAGGTGGCCTCCCCTCGGTGCTTCCCTCTGTGGCAGTCGCTCTACCCCAGACGCTTGGGCTCACTCCCTCTCCACCGATCCTGCTGTTGACATGATCTCAGGACATTGGCTTAAATTTTAAAAAAAGAGCAAAAAGTGAAGGCTCCTACTCTGTAGCTGTGAGGGCAGGGTGAGCAGGGTGTGGCCTGTGTCCCCGGTGCTCACAGAGCCCTTCAACTGCCCCCACAGAACCGTCTGCAAGACCCAGAGATCAGGGCCCGAGAGGGGACACTGGGAATTCACACACACCACGTGGCCACCCGGGGAGGTGGAGAGGGGGTGGGGGGCAGGGGGTCTTCCTGGAGGATGAGGGTTTCTGCAGGTGAACCTGGCAGAAGGCAGAGGGAACCCCCCCGGAGGCAAGTCCCTGTCCTTCTCCAGGGAGCTCTGCTTCTCAGGCCTGAAGGGAGTCAGAGCAGGAGGAGCCTCCTGAGGACCTGGCTCCTCAGCGGAGCCCTCACTCCTGGGCCAGGAGGTGGCTCCCCTCTGGCTGGTATTTCCCTCCCGCTGGGGAGCAGCCTGTGATTTCACAGAGGAAGGGAGAGGGAGAGAGAGAGAAACATCAATGATGAGAATCATTGATCTGCTGCCTCCTGCATGCTCCCCACTGGGGATCGAGCCCACAACTTGGGCCTGTGCCCTGACCGGGAATAGAACCGTGACCGCCTGGTTCCTAAGTCGATGCTCAACCCCTGAGCCATGCCGGCTGGGCTAGAGCGGACAGACAAGCAGATCACTCTGTCTGTGCCTCAGTTATCATATTATAAGCCCATCAATCCCCACTTTACCCTGTGGGACCAAAAATGGGAAGCCCCGGGTTACACCAGCAGCTCAGTGGATTGAGCTGCAGCTAGACCCAGGCTGCTCCATTGACAGCTGACAATCCCGCGTGCGGATTCCCCAGGGTCCTGCCTGTCCTGACGGGGGACTGGGGCTAGGAGGTTAATCCCTGGCCTTTCACGCAGCTCCTAGAGGACTTGGACCTCTCAGGCTCTGTGCTGGCCGAGGATGTATCTCCTAGTATTTCCCTTGTGCCGTGAGCAGCCACTGAAGCAGAGTGTGTCCTCCAGGTCCTCGAGCCCCATTTCACAGATGGGAAAACCATCCCTGGAGGGCAGGGGTGGGGAGGGGAGTGGGTTTGCGAAAGAACCCAGCCCCAGAGGGAGCTGGCGGCCGAATCCTCGGTGGCGGGCGCAGGCAGCGCTTCCACTCGGCTGCCTCGGCCGCACTCCGCAAGCCCAGCTGATAATTGCTCATTATGTGCTTAATCTGGGCACAGCCGGGCCTGGCAGCGGAATTAGATCACATCAAAGCGAGCACTTCAAAGGGGCAGAAAGCTGGCCTCCGGGTAATTAGCAGAGGGCCTTTCTCTCCTGCCTGGGACAGTTGGAGGGGTTTCGGGCAAGGTCCAAATGGTACCAAGTGAAGCTCAGAGTTGTCAACTCTGCTGAACTTGGACAGGCAAGGCCCATGACTTCGTGTGTGTGTGTGTGTATGTGTGTGTGTGTGTGTGTGAGATAAACTGTTCAGGCCCTCTACTGCCTGCCTGGCCCAGATGCCCTGGTCAACTGATGTCCCCAGCTTCCCTGGAACCCCGTGTACCCTCTCTTTTTAGACTGCCGTGTTCTTCTGGCAGGAGGTGGAAGAAAACATACACACACACACACACACACACACACGTTCATCACCATCGGGACCCAGAAATCAAAGCTGAAAGAAGGTGACACAATCTTGCTTGTGCATAGAGATGCTGGGACCTATGTCACCATGACTCAGTTTCCCTAGTTGCCTATACAGAGGTCCCTTAGGTGTCAGCCCTGGCTTGGAAAGTATTGGTTTCACCCATCGAAGTGGAAATGAGGGGTGCAGGGGGGGTGGGGCAACAGACCTGAGAAAATCAATGGACCGGCTTGGTTGCTTAGCGAGACCCGCTTCTCCCTCGCCCGCTGGAGGGGACAGGCAAGGTGATGTTATGTCTCGAATCCCATTTGCAGGCGCCTCTCACCCAGCCAGGTATCCCACCAGCACGGCGTGGATGTGCAGAAAGTGCTAAGAGACGTTATAATGGAGTCTGGTGCCACTTCTCGATGGCCTGTGGGGCACTCAGGCTAACAGGCCCGAACGGGGTTGATATATGAGAAGAAACGGTGCTGAACTGGCCAGCGGGGGACAGAAACCCTTTGCGCCTCTGGCCGGGCGAGCGCGGATTCAAGGACTGCTTGGTGCAGGGGAAAGCACATAGTTCCTCATTCCTGCTGTAATAAAAGTAACAAAGTTTCACTGGCTTGAGAGTTTGGAAAAGGATTAATCTTACCCATCTCTTAACCATATTTAAGTAACGGGTATCTTAAGTAATGAGGTTACTAAAGTGGCAGACACCCCCCCCCCCCCCATTGGCTCAGTGGTTGAGCATCGACCTACGAACCAGGAGGTCACGGTTCAATTCCCAATCAGGGCACATGCCCAGGTTGTAGGTTTGATCCCAGTAGGGGGCATGCAGGAGGCAGCTGATCAATGATTCTCGCTCATCATTGATGTTTCTATCTCTCCCTCCCTCTCCCTCCTCTCTCTGAAATCCATAAAAACATATTTAAAAAAATATAAAGTGGCAGAACTCTGAGCCAGATAAGGAAGGCGTGCTCAGATATTGAACAAAATCCATCAGACAGGGGAGGAGGGGATCACGGTAAACAGGGCATTGTTTTCAATGGAAATAAACCATCTCCCTTTGATCCTTGAACAACCTGGGCTTGAACTGAGTTTGAACTGCACGAGTCCACTTATATGCGGATGTTTTTCAACTGACCCATGCAGTTCAATTGGCCACAGTTCAAGAGTCAAATGAAAATTGAAAGCCACGTATGTGGGGGCCTGATAAGTTATAAGAGAAATTTTTACACTGCAATTGGCCAGCACCCTAACCCCGTTATACTAGTAGTTGCTGATAATGCAGACTTTGGTCTAATATTGTCTTTATAATTTCTGGGCATGGAACTTTCTTGTATCAGTGATATTGCCAATATTGGGAAATCAATGATTTAGTCTCTACCACTTCAAGAGTTGGTAGAGAGTGGGCATTAATACACCCAGAAAAGGGATTCTTGCGCCCAGGAACAAACCCAGACACTGTTGCTTCTAAAATGATTTAATTCAAGGCTAACTCTAATGTCCTTTTAGGAAGCTCTGCCCCTGGTTTCAGGCTCTCTGTCCTACAGTTGTCCCTGTCCTCACATGCCCTGTCCACCTTTCATGATTCGAGAGCCCGTGCTGAAGACATGGGCCTCTAAAATGACCTCACAGTGTACCCACCGCCTTCTGATCCTCGGGTGTGAATATACCACATACCTGCTCAGTGATCCCTCGGTCTGTACGTTAACCCTATCGGAAACCACAAAGGGCGCTTCTGGGGATGGAGTGGCCTCATGGACCAAGGAGACATTAGACCAGGGTTTGAGCCTGTCACTGACCAGCTAGCTGAACTTGGGCAGGTCAGCCTCAATTTCATTGTCTCCAGAATGGGTGTGGGGTAGAATATGTGGCTGAGTTTGGTATGAAGCCATCTGGTCTGAGGATGTTCCCATGACCCTTTGCCTCCCCCACATATGGACACTGAGGTGTTTGTCTACATGCCTTTCTCCCTCTTCAGCTCAGCTCCTAAGGACAAGATCTTCTGAGTCTTGAAGCAGAGTGTCTGGCACACAGTAGGTGCTCAATAAATGCTTAGCAAACAAAGGAGTATCTACTTGGCCTACCTTGAAGAGTGGAAGCATACACGGATTAATGGGTACAATCAGGACTGACTAAATAATCTGGGCCCAGTGGAAAATAAAAATAAATGCTTGTTCAAAAATTATCAAGAATTTGAAGACAGAAACGACAGAGCACAGAGACAAGTGCAGGGCCCTTCTGAGCACGGGCCCTGTGCACCGCCATGCCCCCCGTGCTCATAAAACTGCCCTGACACTGTAAACTTTGTCATGAGTGGTGTATATCAGTCTGCTCGGGCTGCCACAGCAGAGTCCCAGGACTGTGCACCTTAAACAACGAAATGGATGTCCTCGCAGTTCTGGAGGTCGGAGGCCCAAGCTCACCTGGCTTCTGAGGCCTCTCTCGTTGGCTTGCAGATGGCCATCTTCTCCCCGTGTCTTCACATCCTCTTCCCTCCATGTCTGTGTCCTCACCTAACAAGGACACCAGTAAGAACAGATTAGGGCTGGTTTTAATGACTTCCTTTTAACTTGATGACCTTTTTAAAGACCCTGTCTACAAGAAGGACCATTTTCTGAAAGACTTGGGGTTAGGACTTCAACATATGGGTTTTGGGGAGACACAATTCAGTCCATAATAAGCACCATCAAATATCGATGCTGTGAAGGTCATCATTTTGAGCTTGGCTTCAACCACATGCACTGCAGCCCTACCCTGTAAAGATTTGTGTGACACCCAGTTTTTGCTGATTATAAAGAAAAGGCTAAAGAAGGAGAGCCCGCCATGTGTCCTGCCATCCAGGGGTTAATGTTTTGAGGTACATTCTTTCTGCCTGTTTTCAACATGTGCACATCTTGATGGTACCAACTGAGATGGCACCATTTGGCACCTTCCTTTTTTTAGTTAATCACTTCTCCCTCTCCCACCCCACTGAATCCGTGGAATCAGCTTTTGGCATTTTCACGGCGGCATATGAGCTTCCAAATGCATCCTCAGTTCTCAGATGCTGAAGTCACATCCCCAGATAGGCTGGTCCCTCTCCAGCCTGGGCGACCCCTCACAGGAGGCCGCCCCTGAAGACACCTTGGGGTGCACAGAGCACAGGATGACGAGCCCACCCGACTCTGCCAGCCAGGGCATTTCCTGACGCGTGATTGGGTCGGAACGTGGAGCAGAAGGGAGGGTGTGAAGAATAGGATCGTGGCTTCAAGGGGAGGGGGGGTCTCCATCTGTCCTCCGTGGTTTCAGAGCTAATTATTGTGGATGTGATGGCTCAGCATTCATTCCTCATATAGTTCCCTCAAGAAAGAACCATTTAGTCCACCAATTACTTTATCTCTTTTTAGGGACACTTTCCTTAATTGCAAAAGAATCTAAAAATACAATTGGCGGACTTGATGTGGGCAGTATCTTGTTTAGAAAGTTAGGCTGGGAGAAAAATGCAATTAAATTGTCAAAATAGAATTGTTTCTCAGATTTAATTTCAAGTGGCTCATTCCCGTTGACTTTTCCTGGTTTTGGAGTTAAAAGCAAAGAAAGTTACCAGGACAACTGCGAGTTACGGGATGAAGACATTAGGCTCCCAGCGTGGGCTGCTGCTCTTAAAGTCACTTTGGTTTAAGTAACACAATCTGATGCTCAATTTCTGAGGTACCTGAAGCAAAGAATTAGCCAGTTTGGGGCACCGTGGGCCATTTTTATTAAAGAAATACACTCTGAACTAAATCCCCCCATCCAAACAGTTCCACTCCCCTAAAGGACCCAGCATGCATCCTCTCAGGTGTGCAAGAGCAACGTGGACTGTTGCACGTACAAATATTAGTGATGAGAACACCCAATCCCACCCAAAGAGCAAGGTGTGTGTGTGTGTGTTTGAATGTGTGTGAAACGTGGGTTTCTGTTGCGTTTGGGTGGCTCTTGGCTTCTTTATATGTAGAATTGAAGGCTCTTCAAAACAGAATGAGCCAGGTGAGAAGTGGCCCCTCCACACTGGGTGGTTATGGAAATGCCACTGATTCTGGAAACGTGGATGAGCCACTGATTTGGAGCGTGGGCTGGGCTCCTGGGAGCTGGAGGTGGATGTAGCGTGGTTTCTCTCCGCAAGGAGCTCAGGCATATCAGGGAGGCAGATCATTTTGATGGCATGTCCTCAGCATGGAGACAGAGGTAGCGAAGAGTAGCTGAGAAGCCACTAAAGAGGGAGGAACCCCCCGGGTGGCTGCACAGATCTGCTAGGCCTGTGGTCGGCAAACTGCGGCTCGCGAGCCACATGGGACTCTTTGGCCCCTTGAGTGTGGCTCTTCCTAAGCCTTAGGAGTACCCTAATTAAGTTAATAACAATGTACCTACCTATAGAGTTTAAGTTTTAAAAATTTGGCTCTCAAAAGAAATTTCAATTGTTGTACTGTTGATATTTGGCTCTGTTGACTAATGAGTTTGCCGACCACTGTGCTAGGCCGAGGCAGGACAGCACAATGCAATTCAGCAAACACGCAGTTGTCTCCTGTGCTCGGGCACAATCCAGACAGAGGCTCAGCCCAGAGGCTGCGCTCTGAAAGCTGTGGCCAATGAAGGAGAGGAAATGAAAATTAAAAAGTGAGCACGGGGTGGTAGGTGCTCCAGAAATGTTTGGCAAAAATGAATGAAATAAAATGTAAAATAGATGAATACTGAACGCTGCAAAGAACGTCAAGACGGTTAAGACATGGCCAGGTTCCTGTCCTTGGATGAAGGGAGTGAGGACCGGTGGGGAGAGGGGCTGTATCCCTTTATCAAGCCATTTTTTTTATAGCATTTTCCTTTCAATTTTAAAAAAAATAACGCATGCTTAGCAGGACACAGGATCACGTAGTATTCCTGCCAAAAATGCATAACCTGAATCTAATCATAAAGAAACACCAGACAAACCCAAATTGAGGGGCATTCTACAAAAAATAACTGGCATATAATCTTAAAATTGTTGAGGCCTAGAAAAAGGCTAAGGAACCGTTCCGGATTAAAGCAAACTACAAATGAATTTTCTGATTTTGGCAAGTATTCATTCACATATTTAGGGATAAGGAGCTTCAATGGTAGATGGAGAGAGAGGAAGGGAGGGGATATCAGACGAGCAAATGGGGTCAAATGTAATCATTCAGGGAATCTGTGTCCAGGCTTTCTGGAAGTTTCCTGTACTGTTCTTGCAACTTTTCTGTAAGTTTAAATCAACAAATAAAAAGTAAAACAAAACAAAACTAATTTTAGAAATGGCCTCTTACAGCTGTGTGACCTTGAGCAGGCAACCGAACCTCTCTGCGCCTCGATTCCTATCTTTAAAATGGGAACGTAATAGTGCCAACTCCACCAGATGATGGTGACGACTGAGAACATCACATGCGTTCGAGGCTTATCGCACAGTGGTTAGCGATGATACTTGTGGCCTTCGGTATTATCACTCATATTTGCACAGGTAACAGATCACACTGCTCTTGCACACCTGAGGTCATGCGTGCTGGGCCCTTTAAGGGAGTAGAACTGTTTGGACGGACACGCACACTACGCAGCAGGC